CCTTAGTGTATGCCACAATATATGGCTTGACCTTTAGTACTTCTTTACATGAAACCACAATTGTTTGTTGCCTCATTCTAAAAGGAACCAAACTTTGGAAATCCTTAGAGATCTTCTGGATTTTGGGCGAAACGGGTGTTCTTATGCCTTGATAATTTCTCTGGAAGTTGTTCCCCTTCTTTAATGGACCCAATCTCTCAAATATGGAAGTCCTCATAGTTGATTTTCCAAGTCGATCAAAGATTGGAGGTCTGTTAGAAGCGACAGATTTATCTTCTACAGTGATATAATTATTGCTTGCCCTTCTTATGGAAATGCGAACTGGTGATAGTTGCTTGTACCCCAAAACCTTCACGTGGTTGCCTTGTAGAAGCTTCTGATGGGAGCTTCTATAATTTTGATGGCTCATTGGGATTATATCTAGCTTTTGCAAAAAGCCTGTAAGCATTAAGATCAAAGCCTTTATTTGTACGCTTCATAGGGAGTGCCACATTCTGCGAAGGATTTTGGGCCACAAACCATGCAAGTAGCGTTGAGGGAAACTTTACTGCCTCAATTTATTTGATCAGAAGAGGTAACTTCCTTAGCATATCGGTTTGGAGTTTGACCGATTCTCCTTCATCTTTCTTCTTTTTAGGGACATAACGAAGCGCAGGAGTTACTTTCTTGTCCCTTTATGAGATTTATTTGAGCTAGGGTGCACTTCCTTATCAACATCTTTGGTTTAGTCGGCAACCATCTCAGCTCTCTTAGTCGTGGACTCGTCATTCTTGCCACTCATGACATCATCAGCTTTTAGCTCCTTCACAATGTGGTTCTTCAGGTAGAACTTTGCATCGGCGAAGTGTGATTCAGCCTCGGTGAATGGCTCGTCATCAGCAACTATCTTCTTCTCGAATCCTCCCTCGTAATACTTCAAACATTGATGGTAGATAGATGGAACCACTTTATTCTCATGTATCCAAGGCCTTCCAACCAAGACATTGTATGAAGTCCTTGCATCGATCACATGCAGCCAGGCACTTGATTTCATATCTTCAATGGTGATTCCCAACCTGATCGCACCTATGGCTCTTTATCCCCCTTGGTTAAATCATTGAATCATGACACGACTTTCCGAAAGTTCGTTCATGGGAATACCAAGTTCTTTCGTAGTGCGAATTGGCAAGATGTTCATTGAGGATCCCTCATCAACCAAAATTTGATTTACCCTTTCATCACGCATATAGCCAACCAGGTATAACGGGCAGTTATGAGTAGTGTCAACTAGTAGAAGACCGTCATTTGTGAATGTAACTGTTTTCTCGCAATCATTAACTTCTTGAGGAATAGACTCGATGAGATTTTCTTAAGATGGTGCCAACGGTAGGTCATCACTCTTTTCTTCCACTTTATCAGCATTGCAACAAGATGCCTCAATACCATCACGAGAAATCTTCATGTGGAACCAACATGGCAAGAAATCCTCCAAGGTCACTGGATGTCGTGACTTTTGGGGGTGGTGCACCTCCACTTTTTCTTTCTTCAAACGCCTAATTGCATTATGTTTCATTGGTTTACCATCATTTTCCTTGTTGGTTATTCTACCGATTCTTTTCGTGGGCTCCTTTTATGACACCTACGACGAGTCACCAACGTCCAACCTTCATCATCATCAGGTTGATCGACTTCAAATTTGTTGTTCTCCAGTAATTCTTCATCTTTACTTTCTTTAAAACCACATAATTCATCCGGACTGAATGAGCCAAAGGTGATAGAGACTTGGTTTGTGCTTGCTTTCTCATCTTCAAGCACGATCTTCTTTTCACGAGCCAAGTTCGTAACTTTGTCCTTGAAGACAAAGCAATTCTATAGAGGGTGACTCACAAGTCAATGGTATTTGCAGTAATTTGGGTCATTCATTTTACCAGCTTTATTTGGCCGCTTCATCTCCGGAAGCTCAATGAGATTTAACTCGAGGAGTTCTTCAAAAATTGCTGGCACATCAGAATCCAAAAATGGGTACTCCTTCTATTGTATTTCTTTTAGAGTCAACTTCCCACTTGGTTTATCTTGAAAAGAAGTGGATTTCGTACTCTGCTTCTTGCTCACCTTCGCTGCGAACTTCACAGGTGATGTGCTGACATTCATAGCTTCTTTGTTTTCAGACTTGAGTACAAACTTACTTCATTTCTTGACTTCTTGCTTGTCGTTCCCTTTGCGAGGCTCATAGATAGTTAGCCTTTCATTTCCAGCGGAGGCTATGCTTAACTCCATGTTATGGGCACGAGTGACAAGTTCTTTAAATGTGCTAGGCTTGATACCTTGCAAGATGTAGCGCAGTCCCCAATGCATGCCTTGGATGCACATCTCTATGACAGAAGCTTTACTAAGCCTCTCTTTGCAATTGAGACTTGCACTTCTCCAACGATTGATAAAGTAGATAACTGGTTCACCCTTTCGTTGACGAGTATTTGTAAGTTCTATCATACTTACGTCTCGTGCTATAAAAGCGATTGAGGAACTCTTGCTCTAGTTGATCCCAACTATCAATAGATCTAGCCTTGAGGTCTTTGTACCGGTCAAAAGCATTTCCTTTTAGCGAGCGAAAAAACTGCTTGACGAGGTAATCTCCATAAGTCCCAGCATTGCTGCATGTCTCAATGAAGTGTGCCACATGTTGCTTTGGATTACCTTTACCATCAAACTGTTGAAACTTTGGAGGTTGATAGCCAGCAGGTATCTTCAACATATCGACCCTTGCAGTGTACGGCTTTGCATATGTAAAGGAGGACTTGGCAACAACTTGATGCTTGTTCTTAATGGTTCCTTCAATGAACTCCTTCAGTTGATCGATTGGAATCATCCCTTAAGATGAGACAGGGATAGTCTTATCGGATGTTACTTGTCTTGGGGGAGAATGACTCTCTGGAACTTTTGGGAGCTTGCTAGGTGTGTGGGTGGAGTCTTCTTCCATCAAGATTCCCACCCTATCTGTTAGCTTGTCGATTCTAGCATCTTGATTTTGCATGCACTTGGTCAAGCCAGCTATTGCTTCCGTCAAGTTTGCCAACTGCTCCTCCACAGGTGAAGTGTTTGTCACCATGGCTTGCATGATTGTCGTGGACGGTGGAGAGTAACATGGATTGTCACACAGATTGATCCTCGATTAGCTCACTCTATGTGGTGTAAGTGGGGAGGATCCATCACTTGAAGCATCATTATCTTCCTTCACGGCAGAGTACTTGGATCTAGAGAGGTCAAGCGGAGCAAGAGTTTTCTTGATCTTAGGAGAAACTTGATTGCTTGAAGCTTGAAACTTGTAGAGAAATTTGCGGTGTTTGATCCACGAGCTCTCTCTTGCTTCTTGTTATAACTTCTGGTATCTTTTTTGAGTTCTGAAGACCCCTATTTATAGTTGTGGGAGGAAAGAGTTATGATAAGAATAAACTCTTTCCGACCAATCAAATTGAAGTGTGACAAGGCCGCATTTGATTGGTCAGAACATGTCACTTGCACACGTGGCGCGATTTCACTAGCCTTTTAATGTGACTTGGCATGCCTTGTCATTTTGACACGTGGCATGATCCTATTGGCTCTTCTGTGTGACTTGGCGTGCCACGTCATATTACATCAAACTGGGCCTCTAGGAAGATGATATCTTGGGCTTAATAAAGTGGGCTCATCACTTTAGCCCAATTAAATGGGATAGCCCAATAGATTTGGACCTATTTATTTAACCATATAAATTGGACTTATATAATTAATTTAATTATATTAGCCCATAATATTTATTTGGCCTAATATATCTTGTATTTAAATATAATCCAAATTATTTAATAAATTTAATTCTAATAAAACTTACATGCCAACAAATGCAAAAACGGGTAGGTTATTCGACCCGATCCATACTTAATTCGGATAGAATATGAGTTAACCGACGGATAATATAGATATCCATATTATCCATGACTTCTTGAGTATGATCACTTTTGAGAGAATTACTAGTATCCCAAATTTGAGGAACCCACAATTTGAGGATATATTAATATAAAAGTTAAACTCATTAGTTATCCATTGGTTATTCATTTTTTCTAAGTGGATAATATACTTCTTATTCAAATTTGATCAGTTTTTAAAAAGTTCATTATCCAACCCATTTTTTTGTGGATAATATGGGTGGATAACTGTGTTTTTATCCATTTTGCCACCACTGTCTAATATATACTACGCTCTTTGTTGTAATTGCCAATGCGGTTAAATAGCCGCGAGTTCTTGGTAGCTGCTTACAAAGTAAGTTATTCATGTATTAAGTGTAACGAAACTAATATCATGTTTGATAGCCTTTAGTTACTTTGTACAAAAATCACCATAACTAATGTTAAGTTGGTTGCTTTTTTCATTGGAGGTATAATAATACATGGATAAGTTATACAATAAATCTATGCATTGTTCATGCAAGGTAGAATGTGAAATAACTAATACATGTATCCTCATATTTATTTTAAATTGCACATTGTTTAATTAATATAAAGTAAATATTTAATAAAAAATACTCTATATTACAATTCATAAATAACTAGTCCATTCGTTACTAGTCCTTACATAATTAATCCCTTTAGAATGAAACTATGCATAGCAAAACCCTTTATAATTAATCCTTACATTATTAATACTTGCATAACTCTAACCATCAACTAAATGACTCCTAAATGCGCTGTGGTACCTTTGGTTTTGGAAAAATGTATAGTATTAGAATGATTTCCTTATATTTGTATGGAAATTAAGAAAGTCCACCCCAATATCAATAATACTAAAATCGTATGTAAACAAAATTAATTACAACTTGCTATTACAAATTCGCAATATTAAATTTAGCTTGCTTATTTATTGATTTATAATAATATTATCAAAGTATATATTTTTATAGAATATTTATCCGATATTAAGCTTAAGAAAATAAAAAGAAGATATAACGTCTTTATTCAAACCAAAAGTACATAAAAAAGAAATATAAAGATTTCCCCAAATTGAATACAGAGAGTACAATATCCTATGCACAAGGAACAAGCAATCGAAATACTTTGTTCAAACCCCGAAACACCATCGTCCCACTCTCTCAGAAGTCAGAAGAAAACTGCTTAGGAGTTCGGAGTTTGCAGTTACACACGGATCCAATAGAGAATAATGGCTCTCAATCTTCGTCAAAAACATACAGGTAATTGTCCTAAATTTTCTCATCAATTTCAGTATTACGAAATGAACTTATTCGATTTTCAGAAGCAGTTTTGTTGATTGATCGATTAATCTGATTGGTGGAATTTTGTTCAGAATGCATTACACGGATGTTGAATCTGAATCAGCCGGTGAATGCCGGCGGCACAGCTAACGAAGAGGTTTATAAGATCCTCATTTACGATCGATTTTGCCAGGACATACTATCGCCGTTGATTCACGTGAAGGACCTCCGTAAGCACGGCGTTACTCTCTATTTCCTCATTGACAAGGATCGGAAGCCCGTTCACGATGTTCCTGCTGTCTATTTCGTCCGACCTACTCACCTCAACGTCCAGCGGATCATTTCTGATGCCTCTAACTCTCTTTATGATTCGTTCCATTTGAATTTCTCAGCTTCCATTCCTAGACGTTTACTCGAGGATCTCGCTTCAGGTTCCAATGCAACTTCATCTCTATTTACATTTTTTTTAGCTTAGAGCTGCATATTTATGTAACACACCGACTCACTAGTGATATTGTCTGTTTTGAGCCTAGACCCGCACAATTATAAAACACGGTGTCTAAGGCTTGCTTCCCATATACCCAGCATATGTCCATGTTTTGCCCAGTAAGATTTGGTTAGGTGTACAATTTACCATTCTAGTTATAACTTGTTTGGCCGAGCTTCATGAAAGCCAAAAATATTTATTTTGGAGTGTTGAGGTGTTTGGTCAGGCTTTTAGGAGAAAGATAAGTGCTTTTGAGCAGTGGCAAAAATTATTTTTTAAAAGCTGAAAAAAGTAACTTCTCCCTAGAAGCACTTTTTGAAACCTTGGCCAAACACAAATTGTTGCTCTACATTGGCAAAAATGCTACTTTTCCGAAAAGCACTTCTGACAAAATGGCTTTTTAAATAAACAGATTTTGGAAGCCTGGCTAAACAGACCGTAAAGCCCATGTTTTATCCGACAAATTTTGGGAATTTTTTTGGGAGAGATGTTGGGTGTAAAACTTTAAATCATGCAACTTGCTGAATGATGAGACATGTTTTTGGTTCAGGGACGATTAATTCAGAGTCGATTGAGAGGATTGCGAAAGTGCATGATCAGTACTTGGAGTTTATCACGCTTGAGGATAATTTGTTCTCCCTTGCCAACAAGAACTGTTATGTTCAGTTAAATGATCCCTCAGCTGGGGATAAGGAAATTGACGAGATTGTTGAAAAGATTGTGAGCGGGTTGTTTTGTGTCTTGGCTACTCTTGCTGTTGTCCCTGTCATCAGGTGTCCTCGTGGTGGGCCTGCTGAGATGGTGGCATCCCTGTTGGATCAGAGACTGCGGGACCATTTGCTGGCGAAGAACAATTTGTTTTCAGAGGGTGGGAATTTGACTAGCTCATTTCAGAGGCCAGTTTTGTGTTTATTTGATCGGAACTTTGAATTGGCAGTGGCGATACAGCATGATTTTAGGTATAGGCCACTTGTTCATGATGTGCTTGGGTTGAGATTGAACAGATTAAGCATGCCGGGAGACAAGGGTGGGATGAAATCCTATGAGTTAGATAGGTCTGATCCATTTTGGATGGCCAACGGGTCATTGGAATTTCCAGAGGTTGCAGTGGAGATAGAGTCTCAATTGAATAAATACAAGAAGGATGTTGAGGAGGTAAATAAACGAACAGGTGGGAGTGGAGGGGCCGAGTTTGATGGAACAGATTTGGTAGGTAATACTAAACATTTGATGAATGCTGTAAATTCCCTACCTGAGTTGACTGAGCGAAAGCAAGTGATTGATAAGCACACAAATATTGCTACTTCATTATTGAGCGAGATCAAGGAGAGATCCCTCGATTCATATGCTAAAACAGAGAGGGATATGCTGGTGAGAGGTGGCATTGATCGTAATGAGCTCCTTGGAGTGCTGAAGGGAAAAGGGAGTAAGGCGGATAAGTTGCGATTCACTATAATTTATCTTATCTCAACTGAAAGCATGCCTCAATCTGAAGTCGAAATGATTGAAGCAGCACTTAGGGAGTCCGAGGTTGATACCAGTGCTTTTCAGTATGTAAAGAAGATAAAATCATTGAATGTCTCTTTTGCATCAGCAAATTCTGCAAGTACGAGCAACATTGTTGATTGGGCTGAAAAACTCTATGGGCAGTCAATCAGTGCTGTAACTGCAGGTGTGAAGAATCTATTATCCGGTGATCATCAGTTGGCTTTGACGAGAGCAGTAGAAGCATTAATGGAGGGGAAACCAAATCCTGAAATTGAATCTTATCTTCTACTTGATCCTCGTGCACCGAAGTCAAGCTCTGCATCTAGCAGCAGTCATCTAAAAGGACCATTTAAAGAAGCTATAGTCTTTATGATAGGTGGTGGAAACTACGTGGAGTATGGAAGCTTGCAAGAGCTTGCCAATCGCCAACAGCCGGTCAAGCATGTCATATACGGGACAACAGAAATTCTTACAGGAGGTGAGTTCATTGAGCAGCTTGCAGTACTGGGGCAGAAAATGGGATTGGGAAGCAGTGGGGCTGCACCTCCCCATTGATGGGATGGATTTTGTACACAACTGATTAAGCAACTATTTGTTGTTCACTATCACACTGCTCTTCACTTTATTAAGCCACAGGTTCATGAGAAAAGCTTACATTGAACCTAATAGTCTAGTTGAGCGAATGGAGAACTGAGCTAACTGTATTTTTGATAGCGCCAGACTTTGGCATTTGACTGTGGTGCGTACTGGTCTTAAAAATATGACTTTTATTTCAATTTTTGAAGATCTGAGGGAGTTAAAGGAGCTTTTCTACATTCGATATACTTGGAACCAAAATCCGCATAACTTCCTACACTTGTTTCTTTGTGTTTAACATGCTCTTCATTTCCTGTTTTTGGTGGAAGTTCAAGTTTCCTTTGTCAGTCTAATTATTGAGATTATACTCATCATAAATAAATAACAAAACTTATTTTGAAAATGAGATAGATGCAATGCTATCTAAGATCAGTATACTCGGAAGAGCCACATATGGCAAAATACCAACTTAAATGCAGTCTCTGGTTGTTATGCTCATTTGCTCCGCAAAGCTGTGTTTATCCTGTTAGAACAAAAAATACTTTAGAGATGAACACCATCATCTCTTACCCAAGAACTACCATGTCAAATCATCAAGAATAAAATCTCTTACCCAAGAACTACCATGTCAAATCATCAAGAATAAATACTTGCGGAAACGTACCTGAATCCATGGGAATGGATGAAACTCCTTGTCTTGCGGTTAGTAGTCTTCCAAACCAAGACCCAAGCCGTAATCGCCTTACTAATGATGGGATGCTAGAAAGAAATGTTTGGGGACCATAACCCTATTAATAGGTGCACAAGTTTATATAATTCTAATTTAGCCCATCATTAAAATAAAAGTTACATCCGAGTATCTACACATAAGACCCGGTAATTTAGAAAGTGTATTATAGACCCATTTAACTTTAAACCTTAGCAGATCACTTTTAATTTGGGTCAGCCTTTTAACGATAGCAACCAACATACAATTATTCTTAATACAAGATATATGTGCTAGTCCATAAACTCTTACATATCCTTGATATAGCATTAACGCATTGTAAGTTACCTTACTGTCAGAATTTATGTAAAGCAAGCAGTTAGTAGTCTTACTAGTGATCAGTTTCTCACGAGGCTTGGAGGTTTTCATCAATATGCTGTCAGTGACATGGTTTTAAGGGAATTTTTCATATGTTAAAGCAAAGAATAAATAGGTAATGGACGAGTGAGTCTTTAACATATCACTTATGTGGTCTGGTTGCATATGAGGTCCCTAGTTGTAATATACCCAACTGAGAATTGAATAAGTCTTGTTGCATATGAGAACATCAAACAGCTCAACAAACGAATTTAGAGGACTGCTTTTGGAGATAGTGTTTGCCTTCTTAAAGGTAGGGGTAAGGTTTGCGTAAGTGCTACTGTCCCCAGACCCCACTTGTAGGACTACACTGGGTATGTTGTTGTTGCTTCTGGAGATAGTGTTTGGTACAATGTAGAAAATTCTGTATAGTTGATTTCTTCCATCTACCTAAGCCTAGGCCAATAGAACAAACTCTACATCTGTACTGGTGGGAAGTAATATCTGGTAAAATATTTGAGATATTCAAACATGTATAAAAGAAAAGAAATCTATGTTGTTGTGTTTATTATCCGAGAGCTTAACAAATTTAGTTGGGGAGGCTGAATAAAGGCTCGCACCTTCAAGTAATTGGAAAGTGTGTAGGTTAAAATGGATCTAACTCCTTTTCATTTTTATTTTCTAGTGTGTAGGGCTTTATATTATTCAATTAAATCTCATCCATTGATTTTAACCATGACAAGTGTCTCCCATCCAAGTAGGAACTTGAAAAAATGGAAAGACTAGGAAATTGAGGGGAGTTGGATCCGATTAAAATTAACTTATATATTGGTATTCTATGTACCTTGTGCACTAATAGGTACTACTAATATTTATCAAATTGTAGTAAATAAATAACTACTATAAATACTATACTGCATTCAGTTCCTATTAGGATATTACTTATCATTAAATTTTTTCACACCCTTTATAAAAGAGATTTAACAATCTTAATCATTAAAATATTTGTCTAGACTACCTTTTATCACTCTTTAAACGCCTCACTCAATTACTCCTCAATAATTAGAACAATAAGGATATATTTGAAAAAATTAAAGTAATAAATAATTCTTACGTACTTTAAAAAAAAAGTCAAATAGGTCCTCTTTTCCTCCTTTCCTCTTCCATTCCTTTTTTGCTCGCTCCCCTTTTCTGTCTCGTCCTTTCCTGAAGAGCAGAATAATTCACACACCCTAATTTCCATGCCCCAAATTCAATAGCCAAACCTCTCAACCCCATCGATCCATTTCCGATCAATGGCCAAACGAACCCTCCCCTTTCTCAAACACCTCCTCAAGTCCTCATCTTCATCCCCATCCCGTGGATTTTCCCATTCATTAACGTCAACCCGATCCGTCACCTACATGCCCCGACCCGGTGATGGCACTCCACGCGCCGTCACTCTCATCCCTGGTGACGGGATCGGGCCGCTCGTCACCGGCGCTGTCGAACAAGTCATGGATGCGATGCACGCTCCTGTGTATTTCGAGCGATATGACGTTCACGGCGACATGAAGACTGTGCCTCCGGAGGTTATGGAATCGATCCGTAAGAATAAGGTTTGTTTAAAAGGAGGGTTGAAAACTCCGGTGGGGGGTGGTGTTAGTTCCCTTAATGTTCAGCTTAGGAAAGAGCTTGATCTATATGCTTCCCTTGTTCACTGCTTCAACTTGCAAGGATTACCGACTCGCCATGAGAACGTTGATATTGTTGTCATTAGGGAAAACACGGAGGGTGAATATTCTGGCCTCGAGCATGAGGTTGTTCCCGGTGTCGTGGAGAGCCTAAAGGTAATCTTCCTACCTTAATACTAATACTTGTTTGCTCTGAATTTCACGTTGATGCTGGTTAGCTTACATCAATATTTGCTTCACTTTATCCAAATGTGTAACCTGTGTGTAGGATTGTTATTTTTGGAATAATATGCATACAATGTCAAGTGAGTAAAAGTTTTATATGCAATTGAAAAGGTTTTTGCTTTGTTAATTCAAGCGGGGATCTATTGCTATCTTAGACATCTAGAGCAAATGAAAATGACATGAGAATGGAGCAAGTAGAGGATTCTATTCATTGAAGACCAAATATAACCTAAATTTAGAAGATTTCAACTGGACTTTAAAGTAGATTAATGGAACCAAATGACAGGTTTATAAGATTGCCTACTTTTATTTCCTGTAATCTAGTAAGGAGTAGTTATCTTATTAACACAAAAATTGCAAACAAGTTAGGGAGATTGAAGTACCCTTGTCTTTTAACAAGATTTAGACCTATCTAGCCCAAAGCTTATCCTTGCTGTGTGATAGCCAGAATCATTCAGGATTTAGAGCAATTCTGCTCCTACAGGACTTTTTGACACAAAATCCCACTCTTAGTAGGATGTCAAATTTTATACCAGCTGAGTTTAGCCCCATACTTGCTAAGGTTTGGCCTTGACCAAAGAAAGTATTTTATAATTCTGTTTGTTTTTTTATCAAAGATTTTTAGCATACTGTTTATTACCCTCTTAGGTATACTTAAATGGAGATCCATGCTTGAATTTACCAATCATCTTATCAAGATCGTCCTAAAACATGTTGGTGGAAAAGCCTAAAGACACCTTAATGGAGTACCGTTAGCAACACTTAATCTCTTCTGTTTCCAAATTTGTTCCATAGTACTTGAAGTATTGAATAAAATCACAGCTTGCTTTACAGACCCATGTTTAACACCTCCATTTTTGCTTTCCTTTTTAATCCATTCAGCAACAGCATGACGCTCCTCAATTTTTAGTCGTATTTTTCTTTAGTTGAGTCTAATTGTGAGTGACTCATTTGTTTGTATTTAATCTCATATGCTAGATAAAACAGGATTAAAGGAAATAATCAGAATATAAGAGAAAAATTAGAAAAAACGGGAGATAAAAAAGGACAATCAAGAGAGAAACAGTGAAAGCATAAGTCAACAACAAACAACAACAACAACAACAACAACCCAGTGAAAGCATAAGTCAATAATCTCAAATATCTCTCTATATATACATATGCTTTTCACCTAATTTAAAAAGAAACTCTTTTGGCGCCACAAGAATGAACTAGAATTTTTTTTTGGCACCACAAGAATTGAAGAGATTTCAGATAGACTTTTTTTAACAAATCTGGGATGCAGATAAATCCTTTCAAAAATCTTGGTCTTCAAAAACTGGACCTTTGTTCTTAGAGTAGACAGTAGACTCTGAGAGTTGAAAGAAGACCTCTTTTTTCCAAATTGAATTAAAGGGGCTTACGGTGAATTTTTATTGTTGACACGGGAAAGGATTGATAAAGCATGAATAATGATAGTGGAAACAAGGAGCAAATATAGGACGTTGAGAATAAAGTTGATAGAACCAGGGGAAGCTAAGGGGAAATTGACACCACGTGTCAATGTGGCAGAGAAGATGGGAAATGTGGGTGACTTTTGACTTTGTATTTGCTTTGTCATGATTTTCATTAAAAAGCTAGCCCACGGGCCCTTACGGGTAAATTTTTCACTTTAGGTGATATGGCAAGAGTCTTCTCCCATTTATTGATCTCCGTGCCTAGTCAAGCCGTGTCATATAAATTGAAACGGAGGGAGTATTTTTTTTTTTTTTTAATTCTAATGATTTTTTGTATCCACTTTACACCTGTAAAAGTTTATGAAAAAAAATTAAAACTTAATTCACTCTATGTGCTCTAAAGAAGTGGAGAACACGTGTTGTTCCATGTCAGCTTTACGTATTCAATGAACACATTTGACAACTTAAGTGTTCAATAGCTACGACCTAATGAAGAGTTGCCAAAATGAAGTAGCGTGCCAAGTTGAGGGGAAGTCGATATATTTAGTTGAAGAAAACTATTGAAAGTAATGGTTGAAAAGTTAGGATGAAGGAGAAAATAACATGCCAATTCTAGTTGGAATAGCTTAATCGATTTGAATGCTTAATAGTTGAAACTTGTATAAAAAATGGATTGGCGTCAAACATTTTGAATCATCCAAAATTTAAAAGTCACATATATTGGAAAAAGTGGGAGTATATTTTTTTCTTATTTAACCCTTTACTATTGATAAGTAGCAACCTGCCTCTCCGGCTAAATTCTATTTGAAAGTGGATGGAAAGTTTGTCATGTGCTTATTTGAATGAGTAAATTTTGCAAGTTTGGTAGGCAACTCTAAGTATTAAAGAGAGAACAAAGAAAGTTACAGCTTCTCATATTTTCTTTCTTCCCCTTGCTTCTTTCTTCTTCTTCTTCTTCTTCACCAAAACACTTCCTTCCTTTTCTGAGTGTTATTTTGGGGCGAAGTAATTGTGCACTGGTGGATCAAAAAGCTTGTAAATTAACACTGAACAACTTATATCAGCAAAGCCAATGCATGTGTCGCAAGAGAATGAAATTTTTTTATTCACGCGAATGTGCTTTTTGTTTTAACTTTTAAGGTGATAAGAAAAGAGTCAAACAGTAGCATTAATTCTTTCTTTGGGTGAGGGGGTTGGGAGGAAGGAGGGAACCTAGAGAGCTGATCTTATGGAGGGGGAGGGGTGTTCCTGGTATGGTGGACCTTCAGCCATTGCCATAAAGAGGTAAAAGTGAGAATGTCTATCCCCACGAACTATATAGTTGCTGAGTTAAACTAACAAAAGGTAAACTTATTATCTTTTAAAGAGGTAGTTCAAAAACATTTATAGGGTTAAAGGAATACAACGAGTTAAATAATTGAAGGGGCTAGTTGCACTTGATCCTATTGAAAACTGAAAAGATTCTATGGGAAAATGCTAGTGTTTCATCTTTCTTAATGATGAGCCAAGCTTAGATAAGTTGCTTACATATAATATTTGTTCGTTACCAGATGTCCAATTCGTTGTTAAGAAGTGTATAGCTCTGTCATATTTCTTTCTTGGTTTATTGTGGCCTAATGCATGAACAACCTCAGCCTTTGGGTTTCTCTGTTATTTTTTGGGATTTTCTTTTGTCACTCTATCTTCTGGACGTACTCTCTTTTCACCCTTTTTGTCAAAATTTCTATGTTAAGGCCCAACACATTACATATTATTGGTTGTTAATCAGCATTTAATATATTCTCTGCAGCACAGCCAGAGATGTGCTATGAAATTAGTCTGTGTTATGATGAAAAGACCTAATCAAGTGCATCATTTGCTAAGATTTTCTAAATGATTATCTAAACCATATTACATATCCATCTTTTAAAGTAGTTTGCAAGACAGCTTACACATCTGAATTTAATATTGATGTACAAATCAACCGCTACAGTCTTTTTACCTAAGATCTGCTGTGAGCTTCCTTCTTTGCTCTCACCTTTATTTTTCTTCTTAAGTAGAATGTGTCACTTCCTGTAACGTGTAACATTTTCATTATATCAGGACCTAGCTCGTGCTTAGCTTTTAGAGGATATACGAATTGTCAACTCCATCATCTGTTTGTGGCAACATTTAAACTTTGTTTGTCTCACTATTGCAATTTTCAAGCTGGGACATTTTTTTAATTTTTTTTTTTGGTATTTTCCAATCACAAGTTACATTGTGGACCTAGCTCGTGCTTAGCTTTAGAGGATGTACGAATTGTCAACTCTATCATCTGTTTAGTGCAATATTTTTATAGAAATTTTGTCTCAATATCGCAATTTCCAAGCTGGGGCGCTTTGTTACATTCGTCTCTTGCATTTTCCAGTCACTATTACATTGTTGCGGAGTACTTATTCGGTGGTCCGTTGTGCTTTTGTCTCTCTCTCTCTCTCTCTCTCTCTCTCTCTCTCTCTCTCTCTCTCTCTATTTTTATTTTAATTCCCCCAGGGCTTCTAGCCCTAGGACATTGTGGGTCAGTTTCCTCTTTGCTTCTTTCCTTTTTTAGGATATCCCATACGGTGGGGTGATTTCTTCTCAAGTTCTTTTATACTATCATTCCGCGCTTCCATTTCAACTTTAAGAGTCATCCAATAGCTTCTTTCTTGCAGATTCTTATTGTTTGTGTCTTTGCTATATGAATTTTCTAGGTGATGACAAAGTTTTGCTCGGAACGAATTGCAAAATATGCCTTTGAATATGCATACCTCAACAATCGCAAGGCAGTGACTGCTGTGCACAAAGCAAACATTATGAAACTTGCAGATGGTTTATTTTTGGAGTCTTGTCGTGAGATTGCAAGCAAATATCCTGGGATCAAGTACAGTGAGATCATTGTGGACAACTGTTGCATGCAACTTGTATCAAGGCCTGAGCAATTTGATGTTATGGTACAAGTTTTGCCCTAATACTTTTCTAGTTTTTGGTTCTTGATTGTTTCTTTTTCTTGTGTGGTTTTTGTTTGCGTTTTGCTGCATGATGTTAAAGCTGTACTCAATTTCTGCTCTATATGGACCATTTATCTTAATCCTGACAATTTTTTTTTTTT